CTTTCCTTTTATGGATTATATTCTGGACAGCCTTTTTGACCTCAGCATTCCGGATTGTGTATATGAAAGGATTCAGCATTGGGGTAAGGGTGGTGTTCAAGACTGCCACGGTCCTTGTCAAGCGGGATGAGGACTGGACATTGGGCCTCACGTACATGATGACAAGAGCCCCATATAATATGGACACCACAAGCAGGTGAGATGTGCAGGTGGAGAAGGCCTTCTTCCGCCCTACAGCAGAAGGAATGCGCAGGATGGTAACAATGATGAACATGTAGGACACAATCATAAGGAGCAAGGTCATAATAACAATTAAAAAGGCAGTCAACAGTCTGAGAGATTCAATGAGATAGGTTTCACCACAGACAAGGCTCAGAAGAGGACCAATATCACAGAAGAAATGGTCAATAATATTGGGCCCGCAGAATGGCAACGTCTGAACAATACAATAATGAAAAACGTTAACCACGAATGCAGCATACCAGGTGGCCAGAGACATTTGAATGCACACATGCTTGGCCATGATGATTGGATACTGAAGGGGCCTGCAGATGGCCAGATAGCGATCAAAGGCCATGGCTGTGAGGATGAAGAGTTCCGTACTGCCAAAGATGAAATGGAGAAATCCTTGGGCCAGGCAGCAGTGGAAACAAATGGTGGTTTTGGTTTCTACAAGTGTCTGTAGAAATTTGGGTACAACAGTTGAGGTATAGCAGATCTCCAGGAAAGCAAGGTTGCTCAGGAAGATGTACATCGGGGTCTGAAGTCTTGGCTCAATGGCTACAATGAGGAGGATGAATCCATTCCCAAAGATGGTTACAAGGTACATGAATAGACCTACCACAAAGAAGACTCTGTGAAGATCATAGAGAAAAGGAATTCCCAGGAGGATAAATTCAGTCACTCTGGACATATTCCTAGCCTCCATCATTGCAAAATTGTCAATGATTTGTCTTGCATATGTCTTGAAAGTGACTGTTAAACAAAGTCATAACATCTACACATTTAAACTAAATAGGTACTGCATTTTATTATTAAACTCACACATCTTTTAATATCAGTCAAATATCTTAGAAGCAAAATCAAAGAGAGACCAAGGTATTATGCAAAAAGTCACTATGATAAGGCCAAAATTCAGTTGCCTCACATATGATATTTCCCTGTTTGGATTGTTATTTCAGACGTT